TCTCTCCAAGGGCCACTGTAAATTCCAACTCACAGTTATATTCCCTTCAAATCCTTTTAGAGCCGTGCATTCTCCCTACAACAAAGTTAACTTGATGGAAAGAAGACAAGATTGACAAAAATAACCGTTCTTGGCCTCCTGGATTATTTGATTCCTTCTCACCTAAATAATTAATGATGCAAAAGCCAGACATTTACCAGCCATGGGGTGTTTTCAGATTGGCTGCACGGAAATATATCTATCATCTTCATTAAATCACAGAATCACAGAATGGTTGAGGTTGGAAGATCACCACTGGAGATCATCTAATCCAACCCCTTGCTAAAGCAGGGTCACCTAGAACACATTGCACAGGACCCTGCCAGATGGCTTCTAAATATCTCTAAGAAAGGAGACTCCACAACCTCTCTGGGCAACCTGTTCCTGTGCCCTGTCACCCTCTCAGGAAAGAAGTTTTTCCTCAGGTTCAGATGGAACTGCCTGTGGTTCAGTTTGTGCCCATTGCCTCTTGTCCTGGCACTGGGCACCACGGAGAAGGGTCTGGCCCCATCTTCTTGATACTCTCCCTTCAGATACTTGTACACATTGATCAGATTCCCTCTGAGCCTTCTCTTCTCCAGGCTGAACAGCTCCAGCTCTTTCAGCCTCTCTATATATGTATCAGACGCTTCAGTCCCTTCGTTATCTTAGTGGCCCTTTGCTAGACTTGCTCCAGGAGCTCCATGTCTCTCTTGCACTGGGGAGCCCAGAAGTGGACCCCCAGGTGTGGCCTCACCAGAGCTGAGAAGAAGAGAAGGATCATCTAACCTCGACCTGCTGGTAACACTCTTCCAAGTGTAGCCCAGAATACTGTTAGTAAATAAGAAATAACAAATCATGTATCATAAATATATCCTCATTAGTATACATTATTAATAGGTCCTGGGCTTATATTGGACCCTCCCTTACTATCTTCTCCATTTCACAGCTATTAATGCTGGACACTACATTAGCATCTCCGTTTCTAGATGAAATTCTTCAAGTTTACCTTCAATAACATCAGTCATTCTTAGTATGCAGACCTAGCAGTTGATGCAATTATTCTCCCCAGAACTGGAAATGTGCTCAGATTGCATGTAGTAAGAAGCATCTTCAGTATATGACAGCAGTTATGGCCAAGGCTAGCCACATTTCTCTTCTCCAAACCAAGGGAACAAGGGACTCCCATGGTGGTTAGCACTTTTGTGACACTCTAAAAGAACATTTCTAACTCAAATCAATGCACTAACTATGGCCTGTATTTGAAGTTAATCTCTTGCATGGCTCACACAATAGAAGCACCTTTCTCAGTTGCTATGAAACCGTTAAAGTCCGGGAAAGGGAACAAGCCTTTAAAAGCTGTGCGTCCTTGGGAATGCTAACAGTATAGGGGCCTTTCTTTAAAAGATCTAAAAAATCGCTCCTTCCACAAGAGAATGCTGGGTTTGCATTGTTATGCACACAACAGCTACAGAAAAATGATCTACACTCTTTCTGCTCTGTCTCTGCAGTAGGACTACTCCTGATTTATACAGCCAGATGACATGTCTCAGCTGTTTTGTGTTGCACTACACTATTCACTATTCCAGTATGTCTACATGTTTTAGTATGGTTGTCACACCCAGATCCACAAAGCTTTTAACTCAGACTCAGTGAAAGACCTTGAGTATCCAAAAGCATGTCTGGGTTTTTTGTTTGTTTACTTGTTTTCCCAGAGATTGTACTTGAGCCACTTCAAATCCACAGTGGCAGCTAGCTCCCAGGGAGAATTTCTAAAATCCTTTGTCATTTGAGCACTTCAGAAATGTGATATCCTAGCCATTTACTGCTACTAGAGCAAGCTGAAATTTAGACGGGTCAGGTGCTTAAAACCTTTCAATAACTACAACAGCAGTGCCTTTGTAGTCATGGTGGCTAAAGCCTATGAACAAGGCAGGGTCTGTATGCAGCTAATGCTTTTTATTACTCCAGAACAGAAGGTGGACATTCAAGCAGCTCCTTTGTACCACCCAGTAAGGCTGGCTAGGGTCTAGAAAAATGGCCTTAGCTAAAGGACGCTAAATCAAGTCCTTACTTCAATGAGAAGGTGCAGAAGTGACCTTACACTACATAGCATTACAGTGCTATGTAGAGACTCTATAGTCCATTTAAACAACAGCAGCCAAGACTGTACATTTCCAGCAGAAGAACAGTTCTTATATCTCATCTAATGCATTTCTGTTACTGTGTTTTATGAAATTTGCCAAATAATAATGACAGAGAGCTTAACTGACATTTCAATGATAACATATTTTTATTTTTGTATTGCCTCCTCTCAATGTTCAAATAAGAACGGAAGTTTAAAAGTTGATAGAAATAAGTGATGTGTAGATGGTACAGAGGATTTTGGTGACTCTAAGCTTGAGTCACTGAAAACAGGAACTTCCAATGTCAAAGATGCTTATGTCAGCTCTTCAAAATGTACCAAGCACAGCACACTGCATACTCCTTTGAGGACACACAATAAGCTATGTACCAAGTAAGAACCTTCTTAATCTTTTCCTCAATTTCACCAAATTGACCAAATCGGGAAAAAAAAAAGGAAATCTACCTAATTTTTTATGTTGTGGACCAAGGAGAAGTCAAATAAATAAAGCAGTCTCAGAGAAAAGATTTATAAGAAAAGAGAAAGAGAAACTATTATTCTACTTGCTCAATAGTGGATGGCAATTGTTTTCCTATCACAGCTGCACATAAAAACACCTGGTTTTGAAATGAAGCCATAAAGCCACAAAAGAGCAGATATATTAAACTTCCAATAATTGCTTTGAAATCTTATTTTCTCCAACCTGATGGTAGTCATTTTGTGCCCACTGTTTTAATTCCTAAATGTGATTTATAAGCATTTTATATTATCCTAATCTGTCCCTGCTGTGTTGCAGCAATGGCAAGCATACACAGAAATTGTAATGAAGCACTCACTACAAACTGTAAACACAGAGGATGCTAAGGTGTCATGTACAGTACTGATAGAGGTTAATACCTTCCACAGTCATTAGGTTTGGATTTGGGGATGTTTGCACAGTAGCCAATTCAGATAAAATTCAATTGTATGCTGGCAGCCCATAAAAAGCTTATGTATCATTGAATCTCACAGGTATACCTGGGTCTTAACAAGATAAAATTCATCCCTGTGTAGAACATCCTTTTATCATGCACTGGTCCCACTGCTTTGGTTTGCCTGAGGGACAGGAGGGATGACAGGGGGTATTTATGCCTGAACTGAATCTCTGCAGAGGGAATTATCTTCACCCCTTAAGAAGTGCTAAGAATGCGTCCGTTTAAAGTGCTGCACCAGAATAGAGCTAAGGGCATATCCGTGCATCAGCAACCCATAATGGCTTGTGCAAGTAGAGGCTATGGGAGCATGGACGCACACAGGAGTCAAAAACGAACAGCACCATGCACAGACCTCTCACAAGAACCAAGCAAACTTGCCAAAATGCCGTGGCCCAGCTATAAGTACCGAACCTAGCTAGGTTAAGATTCGGACTTGCTCAGACTTGCGTGCACTCATGTTCTATGGCTTACCCTAAAACACTGCTGTACTACAAGTGGGAGCAAATATCAGAGGGATGTTTACATTTTGTTTACTAAACAAAATATACTTCTTGCTGAACTTCCTGAGGTAAAAAATAGAAAATAGACAAACCACAAACAATTTCTAGTAAATATTTTAGAATGAAATGCAAAATCAATATCTCAGAAATATTCCAGATTTAGTTCAGTGATGTCTAATTGTCTGGAGGATGGAAAATTGATCATTCTGGAATGATCTAGTCATTTTATTTCAACATATTTGTAAACAAAACCTTTCTCTTTACAACCTGAACTTTTTTACATTTTCTAAATAACTTTTTAAATTAAACCCCTGCTTTTCACACAACATATACTTTACCTCTAATGTTTAAATTTACTCAAAATGCAATGTTTTATTCAACTCCAATTGATAATTTTTTCAATTCTAGAAAACATTTTGATTTCTTTTTGTCACAAAACTCTTTTTCATTTTTCAGAATTGCT